CTTATTACATTTGACGTATAATTGGAGAGACTTGTAGGCTGAGCAGGTAAAATACTGAAAAAAGTATGCGGAGACCGAGAGTACGACTAGGACTTATGCGCTTGACCACCGAATTACTAACGAAGTTTCTGTTTAGTGTAAAAGAAATGGGCCTTTTTTTCGGGGAGCCAGCGTCAAGTACTCATGCTCCGATTTGAGGTCTTATCAGCTTAGGTTTTTTTACTGCGGATTAACTTTGAAAACGCACACCATTTGAGCCTCATGCTCATTTTCCCGCAGGCAAGTAGAAGCCTGAAAGTAGTCATATTTAAAAGTCGGTAGCCTCGCATGATTGAAAGATAATTATACTTTGCTGTTGGGTTATCAATATTAAAAGGCCATAGTAATCGTTCCTTCCAAACTTAAATATATTTCTGAAAATGGGCAGCTATTTCAGTTGGTTAGTTCTTTTATCAGATCTGCCCCCCGCCCTAGGCTGAAGTGCGCCTGATTTTTGTTATGTCCGAAGGATATTTTCACGAGCGTTTGTCCATTTCTAAAACCTAAGGAGACAACTTCTGTTAAGCAGGTCGATTTATTTTCCTGAACTTTTGACTGCAAATTTCCAAATTTGCCTTTTTCTACTCTCAGTATTTTATTATAAATATCTAAGTAGAAGTCAGCGACAAAACACGTGTATGCTGTGTGGGAGAGAGGAGTACAGTGATTGTCTAAATTGTAATCCCCGATGTACGATTAGTTCCCTAGCTTCGTCCCCACCCTAAAGGCACCTTTTCTTGCAGATTCTCCATCAGACGAAGGGTACCCAGGTTCACTTTCAGCTCCGGTTCCCGCACAGTGGATTTTTCAAGCTGCAGCTCTACGCTCTACCTGTGAGAGATGGCAGCAATTCTCTGCCCAAAGTGTACAACTATCTGATTGAGGCCTCCGCGTACCATCGGATTCACGGTCAGGTGATGCCTTTCCCTAAGCAATTGGATCACTGGCACCGAGGCTGCTATCTCAAGACCCCAACTGAGGGCATTCTTGGCCTGGGTGACAATGGCAGGTTGGACAGTAAGCCTCCCAGTAGTCTGCCCTTCGATGTTCGCGTACCGAATGCCATTGCCATAGCCGTGGTCGTGGGTGATAGAAGGACCAACCTGGACTGCAAGGGTGACCGCTGGATGAGCAAAGTGCACATGCAAAAACACTGGGGCACCAAGCAGAAGCTGACCGTCTACGCTAAATACGCCGCCGAGGATACCGAGTGCAGCCGTCTACTGGAGTACGCGCTAGCCATGTAAATGCGAACAACCCTCCTCTGTTTCCACTCACTGGCTCATGTGTCACTTAAATCGAACAATCGTTATTGGCTGCTAAATTATATCCTTATATGACTTTCAAGGCTCTCTGACGCTGCTTTCAATCCCATCTTAAAAACACATTATTATGACACAGCGTTCATTCAAAAAACATGTATACAAGTGTTTCCTTCCCAGATCTCAAACTCCCAGCGGTCACCTGACGACTTGATCT